GACGCACGCGGGGTCCACTACCCTTGCGATGATGCTCTCATCATGAAGATAAGGATCAATGACTTCGAAGTCAAGCGTGTCCCCGTCGACTCCGGTAGTTCGGCGGACATTCTTTTCAAAGCGGAACCTCGCATACATTAGGATCGCGGCCTACCAGCAGAGAGTAACTCGGTACTATAACGCCAGGGTCAAGAAGCGGAACCTTCGCGTTGGAGACCTGGTCCTTCGTAAAGTTATGGTGCCTGAGCCCAGTGTTGGTAAGCTCGGGCCAAATTGGGAAGGACCCTACCGGGTAAAGCGAGTGCTCGGGGAAGGAACGTATGAGCTTGAAACCTTAGAAGGGAAACAAGTACCTCGGGCATGGAATATTGTCAACTTAAGGCAGTATTACCTGTAATCACCGAGCTGAGTGGACTGCAATCGCTCTCAGAGCCTAAGGGCCAAAACACCGAGCTAACGAAGACATTGGAACTATAAGACCTAGTCGCCTCTATCGCATGGGCGAACTCTAGGAGAGTGGACCATAAGTCACTCCCCCAGCCTAAGGGCTAAAACGCCGAGCTAATGAAGACATCGGCACCGTATAAGGCCTAATCGCTTCATCGGCATAGGCTAAGTATTAATACCAAAGGCAGCTCGGGTGTGAATTCTATGATGCATAGCCCGCCTCAATATACAAGTTGGACCCGCTAGAGACAACCGACTTTAACCTAAGTAACCCAGGTGCATACAGGTCGGGCATATGCTCACTGTGGTGATCACCTCGGTGTACATTATAAAAATCACCCTTACGGGGAGATGACTCAGGGTAACAATAGTTGAGAAACCCCACTTCGGGTGCTTAGCTCTAGTAGTTCGGGTGAAACAGTCACTTCGGCAAAAGAGTAAATAGCACAACACTTAACAGAAAAAAGAAACAATTTCATTAATAAAAAAGAAACCGGGCCTAACAGCCCAGGAATACTTCAACAAAGCAGAAAGAAAAGAAAAAGAAACCGGGCCTAACAGCCCGGGAATACATCAACAAAGCAGAAAGAAAAGAAAGAGAACCGGGCTCAGCCGCCCGGGAGAAACCACTTCAAGAGAAACATTTTTTCAGAAGAAAAAAGAGAGCAACCAGCCTCAAGGCTCCACCTCCTCTACATCCTCGTCACTCTCCTCCAGGGAGTCGGGCTCCTCCTCCGCCGCCGCGTCCGCCGTCTCTAGGGCCAGGTCTCTCATTGTTACACCCTCAAGGTTAAGGCCGAAGAACTTCTTCCAGACCAGCTACCAGCAAAGCTTGAACTCCCGAGCTGTAAGACTTAGAGCCGTATTCGACCTGAAGGTCGTGGAACTGCTGGGACTCTTTGAAGTCCTCCACCGCCTTAGCCCGCTCTGCCTCCACCGCGGTGTCGAAGTTGCGGGTCCTCTCATGGAGCGTGGACTCCAAGCTCTAGACCTATGGGCGAAGAAGCTCCCTCTCCGCCGCCACCCTCGAAGAATCCTCCCTATAATGAGCACTTTCCTCAGACAATCGGGAGATCCGTGCTTCTTGGTCCCTAACGAGCAGCTCCTAGGCCTCGCTCCCCTTCTAAGCTTGGAGAAACTCATCCCGGGCATGGTCGAGCTCGTGTTGGAGGCTCTGCATGTTCGACCTCTGGTTGATGGCGTCTTGGAAGAGAATGGTAGTCTGACAGGCCATGGCGTGGATAGCGGAGTTCAGTTGCCAATAAAAAGCCGAGGTAAGTGGGAGAGAAAGAGAGAAAAAAGAGGAGGAGAAAAAGGGGAGAAACGGGCACTTACCACCATGTAGTAAGTCGAGTTCACCTTGGCGAGCTCCCTGTGATGCATCCCGGCCCAGCTCGCGACCTCCTCATTGCTGGCCGCCTGCCGGCTCCTCCGCGTGGCCACGAAGAAGTTGGTGACGTTGTCGTCCTTCCCCTCGGTAGGGAACCGCGGGAAGACGGTGGGACCGGACCGCATAGCTGGAGGGTACTTCCCTTGAGGTGGGACCTCTTCTTCTTCGCCGCCTCCTGCGGCTACTCCCTCGAACGGCATAGGAGGGACCTCGGGCGACGGAACAAAGGTTGGGTCAGCAGCCTCGAACTCAGCAGTCCTAGAGGTGGATGCTTGGTCAGGGTGCGACCTCTTTGCCCTGCACTTCCGGTTGCTCGATGGTAGGCGACGTGCATCTACACCGGACATGTTGGCTGCAAGAATTACATGGCATTAGTCCAGCTCACAAAAAAAAAATGGCGACCTAAAGGTAACCTACTTGGGCTCAGGCCGGCCTGTACGAGCTTGTCCTCTGCCAAGTAGTCCGAACAGAGAAAACCGACCCCTGCCCAGGACTGCAACGTTTCCCGAATCTTCGGGTCCAACTCAATGCCCAGATCCTGGATGGCAGCCCTCTAGTGGGTCGGAAAGGGCTACCCCTCGGGGTTGCAAATTACAAAATAACCCCGCTTCCAGGCCGGGATCCTATTGGGTAGCTCGTGAAGGAGCTTGAAGTCGGGGCGGGGGGAGAAGTAATAAGAACGCCTTTCTGGATGAGCTCCATGGGAGACATTCTTGATTGACAGAATGGTAGCAAAAATATCAAGAGAAAGAGGAAGACAATATTCAAGAAACAGGGAAATAGTCCCCACCAGGTTTCGAACAGAGTTCGGGTGCAGTTGGTCAATGGTAATATTGAAATGGCAAAGAACCTCCACTATCAGAGGGTGTAGCGGGAGTCGGAGACCAGCCACAAGCTACTCCTCGAAGATCACGATCTCGTCGTGACCATGTTCCCAGGGGTAGTTGCCAGACGGGAGGCTGTAGATGAGATCCCTGGGGAGGTCATACTGAAAAACTAAGGCCCGAAGTCTCTCCATCGACATGGAAGAGGGGCTGAAGCTATCCCGGGAAGTAGAAGCAGAGTTACCAGAGGTTTCCCGAGCCTCTGAAGACCGCCCTTCAGGGTACCCAGACATTGTTTGGACAGAAGTAGAGGACTCACCGGAAAAGTGGACTGAGAAAGCAATGAAGAACAGGGAGAGCTCAAGCAAGCAAGGTGAAGGCGCGACCTCAGAACTGAATGCAAGGCAAGTTGGCATAAGGAAAATGAGGCCTGGGGCCCTCCTATTTATAGCCATTATACCAGAAAAACCAACGGTCTCGATCAAAGCAAATCCAATGGCTTACAATAAAGCTGGTTGCACGTCCTCCGAAACTGAAGTAGAGACGGTTGCACGTCTTCCCAAATTGAATGCAGTTTGGTGCATTTTTTGGCGCCCGAAAAGTCTAGAAATTGTTTGACACCCGTGCGTATACATCATGCAAACAATCAACCTAGTTTGAATTATGGGTCAAATCCACCCGTCACTTCATGAACTCCCCATGCTAGGGTGAGACCCTTATCCCGAGGAGTGGGGGGCAATTGATGGAGGGTGATTTGACCCGACCTCTTAACCAGGTGACACATGGACATGACTCAGCGTAAGTGACAGCTCAGCATGACAGCTTGGCCAAAACTTGGCGTAACGAGCTCGCTGAAGCTCCGACAGAATAACTCACAATAAGACAACTCGCTACAGCACAAGGCAGCTCGCTATAGGAGCCCGCTGCAAAGGAGTTCGCTACAAGGGAGCTCACTACAGAGGAGCTCGCTATTGAATAACTTGAAGTCTTCGGGAAGCTTCCTACCTGACAAGACCGTGCTTGTCAGACTGCTCCCACGTCTCTTGTCTGACGGCGCAACAATGCCAGTCCAGAGGACTGCGCCTACGTCTCACGTCAGGCGGTGTGGTACACACCGGCTCTGCATAATGTCTCTCAACCGACAGGACCGTACACTACAACGGATACCTGCCCCAATCAAATCAGCCTAGCGAAATAACGGCTGTAGCAGATGATCAAAGGCAGTTACACCCAATTTGATAGAACATCAGTATATAAAGGTCATGATCCCCAAGGGACAGAGGGAACTTGAACAAGGTGATTTCACGCTATCTGCACTCTTAGCTCTCTTACTATTCCCTACAGTTCTTTCTCAGAGTTCTAACTTAAGCATCGGAGTGTTCCCGCCGGGCGAACTCCCCGGTAATCCTTCACTGTCTTCTCCATCTCAAGTACTACCCGTTGCCAGGTAGGAGCCAGGCCTGTTATGGTTCCGCGCGTAGGATCTCGTCACGGGTCGGTCCATGGTGAGAAAGCCTTGCTTTCCCTTGCGCCTTCCCTTGCGTGCAGACCCTATTGCGGAAACTGAATGGGTGATTTGTCCAAGAGACCACCCAAACTCTCCCTTGGGGTGGTTTGTCCAAGAGACCACCCGAACTCTCTTCACTCTTTTCTTGACTCGAAAAAACTGAATCCTTTATTTCAATTCGTAGCTCCTTAAATAAGAGTTTACAGAAGGAAATTCCTAATTAAACTCAAATTCCAACTTGAACTCAAACTCCTAATTACCTACTCCTAATGGTAACACAACTCTTACTTAAGATAAGATAAAGATAAGGATAAGATAAGATAAGGGATAAGGGATAAGGAATGGTGTAGCTGGCGGCGAGTTGGCGGGCAGAGCTGATGTGGCAAGATAAGTGTGGCCCCACCCTGATGAGCTGTCATGTGGGCCCCACACTGGGCGGCGCATGCGTCTCGCGGTGCTGCTGCCGAGAGGTGCGTGCTGTTGCCGTGTGGTGCGTGCTGCTGCCTAGTGTTGCTGTCGTGCAGTGCGTGCTGTGTGCGGCCAGGCAGTGTGTGCAGCGCATTGTCGGGCGGTACGTATTGCACGCTGCCGGTTGATGTGTTCATAACAAGACCACTGCYAGATAAGAGTAACCAAATCGTGCTACATCATACATATATATATATATATTAACAGGAATTTATTATTTTTGTAATAAATTACAAAAATAAAGATAAGTTATTTTTAGTTATCATATTTATTATTGTTGACAAATCCCGTCCATCGCACGGATCCCGCTAATTAGAACTTGTGAAACCCAGCCTGGTTGCCGGCGGCGATCCCTGGTAAAATTCTCTCACCAGTCATCAATGTTTTTCCTTGTCCTTCTTAATATTCGAATTTCGAACGCCATCCTCTCTCTTCTACTCTGGCCGTGGTTGCTGGCGCCACTACCATAACCTATCACCGCTGAAGTACTTTCACTATCTGCCTCTTCTTTCCATGTTCTGTCTCTTCGCGTCCTTCTTTATCTCCAGCCATTGCCGGAACCACCATTACCCCAAACTGATCCTTGAAACACCATGAAGATGGATGTTTCATATAACCTTATCCTTCTTATCCCCTGCTGTAATATTGATTTCTCTCGTCAGTTGTAGAACCTCTTCTGCAGTTCTGCTCTAATGGTTCCTTCATATTCGAGCGAAACAATCTTTTCTTGCCTTTTCTATAATGCCTAGGCAATTTTGTTTCATTCCTTGATTCGTCTTTTTTTTTCTTATTTTGATTTTTATTTGTGATTATATTTTGCAGCACTAGACAGAAGTCGTTCTTGGGTAAGTTGGGTTTAGAGTTATTGAACATTTGACAAGTTATTAGGTGAACGACTTGGGGGAGTTCGCTATAAAATGCTTCTACGCTGTACCTCTCCAGCGTTTTATGGGCACCGAAATGATTACCTGGTTAACTCGGAATCCAGAAGTAAACCTCTATATCTGCAAAGAAAGGAATTAAATTTTTCAATGGCACATGCGAGCAGATTAAAGGGCGGGAGTGAGTCTTCTTCGATGCAGCATAAGAGCTGGATCTCTTGTTGTCTGGCTTCTAGAGAAGATCACGCCAATTCAACCAGGTACAGATTAATTCTTTAAACTATTGCATGGTCAGCATGCCTATGCTTTTTTTCGAATAGCTAATGGGCAATGACAAATGGATATGGTTGCACTTCTGCACTTTCTCCATTACTTATGGCAGTTGGAGGTTGGTCTGATACTCTGATGGTCTCTATTAGATGCTGTATGTTAGAAAAGTGTGATTCACCAATTGTGCACGTGCATTAGGATATTGCATACCATGGAGTCATTGATTAATTTCTCTCTATTGGGTGGTTTAATTCTTCTTCATCCTCAATTTATTTGTGCATATAGGAAAGATGATTTATCAGTTCATGGACTATCTGATACAATTGTGGGTGTTCTGGGAGGAGGGCAACTGGGGCGTATGTTATGTCAGGCAGCTTCACAAATGGCCATTAAAGTAGTGGTTCTGGATCCGCTTGAGAACTGCCCTGCAAGTGCACTTTCCCATGATCATATGGTTGGGAGGTTTGATGATAGTGCTACGGTTCAGGATTTTGCTAAGAGGTTGGTCTTACCTGATATAGGTTACAATATGCTAGGATTTTGATTTGTATCCTGCTATACTATCTTCAAGTTTCTATATTCATTTTATGGTTTTCAGAAGCTGATGTTCTCCTTGCTAGTTAGATGTGGAGTTCTTACAGTTGAAATTGAACATGTTGATGCCGCTACACTGGAGAAACTTGAGCAACAAGGTGTAGATTGCCAACCTAAAGCATCTACAATCCGAATAATCCAGGCATGTCCTTCTTCCTGTTGAATATGTGCCCATAATTGGCTAATTGCACAAATAGTATAGACAGTTTATGCCATTCTCATAGCTATGCAACAATCACAAATAGAACCATCATATTTATTTTGAATTTTGAAATGCCTGATTTAATATATATTTTACTCATGCTGGCTTTTATGGATGGTTATGTCATCTTTGTATTTTGCTGATATTTTCTTTTTCTATTAAGGTAAAGATTCTATTAAAAGAAAAGAGAAGAAAGTACAAGGGAGGTCCAAGAAACATCAAAGGACCATACTTTGAGGATTATGCATTGTTATGTACTTCATTCTAGTTTGATGTTTTCTATTAAAAATTGATAACACTTGCATTGTTATGCAAGTCTTTTAGATTATCAACAAGAGAAATTATGGAAGTGTTTCCACCCATCCCAAGACCCCAGATGGCTAGGACCAACATTGGGTAATGGCCTTTTAGTAAATTAGTGGAAGTTATAAGAGATTTTTGAGTTTCTTAAAAGTTGAAACTAAATCAAAACTTTTTGGTGGTTTTACCAAGGCAGTCTCCTAGGAGAAAGCACTCTATGAATGCTTATTAATGCGATACCCAGACATTTGGAGTCCAAGATGCACAACTAGATGGACACCATGGCTGGTTAGGAGCTAAAAACAGAAAATACTTGACTTGTATTGTGGTCTTTAAATGGGAATGAAGTGTTGGTGGATCTCTCTCTATATTGCTTCTCACCACAAATCTTTGTTTTTGGTCATAAATTTATTAAAAATAGAAAAGGGTACAACTGAGGGTGATGAGAGATCATCAAGAAAGAAAGAAAGGTACAAGAGGATAGAAATACAATTATAAGAAAAACTTTACCTCTAGGCCAATTCACGGAGATTCCAAAACCCAGCACCAAGATCTTTTGTAACCACCTCAAACTCTGGAAGAATGAGAACCCAATAAATGATCCTTTTCCCGCTTAGTAGAATGATATGGGTCGTTATGTATTGAATGGGTTTCTTCTCCTGTCATTCTTCTCATAATAAAGCCCAAATTGGAAGGGGAAATTAGAAAAACATTTTTTTTGTTTGATATTTTTTTTTGTGATTTGTAACTAATAAACTTTACTAATTTAAAATTAAAAAGCCTTGAATTAGCAATCTTACAGCTTTCAGCTCCATTGAGCCACCCCCTAATCACATCATACATACAAAAAATCCCAAAAGAGTTGCTTCCTAGATACCCCTTGTTTGGCTCGTGTTTCAGTTAAACCATTTGCTGATCTATTAACCCATCTGAAAGTGGCCTCAACCTCTCTTGCTTACTCCCTGATTTCTCTCATAGCTTGCCTGTGAAGCCAAATCCCTTGGCTGTTATGATTCATCCATCCCACAACTGGCATAGTGTCTCCTTCAACATCCACCTGCTTAAGGTTCAACTGCTTAGCTAGTCATATATTTAATCATTTAATTATATTTTATCAGAATTGAGATCTGCTCCTCACTAAGCACACCTCACACTGATCTCACAGCCACATCTCACCTTGTGTTGGGAACATCTTCCCATGAATAATAAATACAAGTATTGGAGATGTTCCTGATGTGTGGCCAGGACATGCTGTGAGGTTGGCTTGAGGCGTGCTGTGTGAGGAGCAGATCGGACTCATTTTATCATATAATTGCAATACTGTAATTTGTAAATTGTAAATTTGTATTCTTCCAACTTGCCATTCTATCATGCTTATCTTATTACTTGTTATCTCATTGTATTCAGAAATTACTATTAAGCAGAAATTGCTGTGTCTTATTGTATGATTATCCTCTTTCCAATCTGAAACTCAAAATGAGAAGCATGTTACTTCTGCCTCAGCATGGAATATACATTCATTTCTGTGGCATGACTTTTTCACCTAAGCTGTTGCTTACAAGGAAGAGGAGCTTTCTTCTGCTGTAGCTGGTAATTTGTCCCAACTAGTTCAGATGTATTTACAAATATTTTTAGTGTACTGTTATTTATGAAGCTTTGAGCATCTGTCTGCAGATATCTTCTTATATGTTCTGACTTGGAAATTGAACCATTATCTATGCAATGCCATCCGTTAGAACTAATGTTAGTTGAACAATATCACTGTTCTTATAGTTGTCAAAATCTCATGCTTTAAGATTTTCTTTTGATAGGAAATGGTAACTTTCATTTAAGAGAGATTAAAAGATACATCTGTCACCACTGAAAGGGTGGCTAGGCAGCCCAATTACAATAAATACAACACTACAAACAGGCCCAGAACAAAGCCTCCCTATTTACTCCTTGCTTAGCTAAAGCATCCGCCATTCTGTTTTCTGATCTTCTTGCCCACTTGAACTGCATCCTTAAGTCCCTTGCTAAAATCAAAATTTCCCTTATCAGTTGCCCGGAGTACCATGTGCCAGGTTTCAGCTTGTAGCCACCCTATAACCAGTTTGGAGTCACCTTCCACTTCTAACTGTTGCATTCCCCACTGTTTTTTCCAATCTTAGACCTTGAAGTAGGCCTTTTATTTCTGCCCCTAAAGAGTTACCTACCCCTATTTGACCCGAGTAGAGGGCCAGCACTCTTCCTCATCTCTGAAGACTCCACCAATTTCCCGATGGGCCTGGGTTACCTAGAGAGCTGCCATCTGTTAGAATACACAAATCAGGGGTATTTTGGTCATTTGGGTTTATCTATTTGAGAGTGAAAGGTCTATTTTATTTAAGTTTAAGTTATGTGTCCCATCACTTATGAGGGACAATATGGTCTTTCTTGTAACTATGTTATTGGAGATAAATACAAGTGGGTTGGCTAGAGGTGGACTGATTTTTCCTAATTTGGCCGAACCCTTCTTCTTTTCCTTCTTCTTCTCTTCTTCTTTCTCTTCTTCTTCTTCTCTACTTTAACCTAGAATCGAATAGAGATTTTACATGGTATCAGAGCAATAAAACCTAGTTCTCTTTTCCCTTTGTTTTTTCTTCTTTCCTCACTGTTTGTCTTCTTCCTGGGTTCGCCACCAACCATTTCAGCTTTCTTCGATTTTCTTCTAGCCTGAGTGGAAGCTCGACAAGAGGCTAAAAAGGAGTGGTCGTTTTGTGGTTTTGGAGGTGAGTATGCCTCCAGTTACTGTGGTGGTGGTCGTTAAGGTTGTGTACTAGATGCCCTCTATTCTATGATACGAAGAGGGCTGTTTGTGGACAGGTATGAGCAGTTCTGTTTTTTGCCCAAATAGTGGACTGTAAATGCTGTGTTTTGGTTCAAAATATTTTTTTTGTAGAGGTTTGAAGTGATTAGTATGCATATCGGCCTTGTTCTCTGTTTTTACCTCATATGTGTGCTGAAAGTAGAGTTTTTCGACTGCTGAAGTTCACGACAGCAGTGGTGTGGTGGTGGTTGTACTGTGTTGAATGGTGTGTGGATGATTCTGAATAGTTGAAAGTGAAACCTTGTGTTGTGTGGTGGTGTTTATACTGATTTCTGTGTTTGGTTTAATGACTGAGTGACTTCAGCCCTTGTATTTGGTGTGTGAATGGTTCTGCAGTGTGCAGTACAGGTGTTTGATTTAATGACTAAGTGATTTCAGCTTTTGTATTTGATGTGCAATGTGTATTTGAAGATGTTGGTGGTGCTGAGAGTGAGATAAGTTTTGTGGAAGTGCGTGAGGTTGTGCTGAATATTTGAAGGTGAATTAGTTAAGATGGCATCGATTGGAGATGGGAATGACAATAAAACAGGCGTTATGATTTCTCCA